ATAATTATAATAATTATAATAAATTATAATAAATTATAAAATTATAACTATTATATTATGATAAATTATAATTAATTATAATATTTATAATAATTATAAAAATTATATTAATTATAATTAATTATAGAAAATATAATTAGTTATATTAATTATAGCTAATTATAAATTATAATTATTATAAAATATTATATTAATTAAGATATTATTTTTAATTAAAATAAATTAATAATAATAAATTTATAAGAAATAAATTGATAAATATATTAAAAATATGAGATTTATAAAGTATTTATTAATTTTTTTCTGTTAAATATATAGATATAAATAGGTTAATCATATTAATTATTATATAAATATTAAAATTTTAATTGCTAATTATATTTAATAAAATATTCAATTTACATAATAGATATAAAAGAAAAGAAAAGAAAAAATATATATAAATAAGAAAAAAATTCTAATTATCAAATAAAATTATTTAATATCAATCTAATATAAGTATAATTTCAATTAAAATTCTTAATATTAATCTAATAATAATCATAATTTTAATAGAATTCAAGAGTTAAAATTTTAAATTTCTTAATAAAATAAGAAATTTTCAAATTTTTATTACTTGTAATCTATTATTATTCTGACTCTTAAGCTAAGTTCTTTAAACTCACAAAAAAATTTTTTAAAATTATACATTAGAATTTTTAGTTCTATTCTTTAAAGTTAACTATATTTGTTGGATGTCAATAGACTTTTATTATATATGTTGAAATTTGGATAAAATCACGTGAAAGTTAAAAATATCCAATAATTTATAAGAATTAGTCTTATCCAGATCAATAGATAATACAAATCCCAAAATGGTCCAAATCCCAACTTGGTCCAGAACATATACTAGACATTATGTATTTAGATATTATCAACTGTATTAAAGAAAATTAATTTTTATCATATTTAATACAAATGAAAATAAAATATTAAATTTATTTTGCACCACTTGAAACATTTCATGAAAATCATCGGAGTCCAACAGATCATGTTTATAGGAGAGTAATGAGCAACATACATAGATAAATCACCATCTTCAAAAATTGGCCCACATTCTGTATAATATTGTTGTACTTTCTTAAAACTTCGTATTTTTACTTCGATATCTGTACATGTATATGAATTTATGTAAACGTAGATTATTATTTGCCATCTCTACAAAGAAGATGGAAAACGGTATCTTTCTGATTACCATCCTGTCTTTTAATCCAGTCAATTATCTTCGAGACCTGATTCTGCGAAAGAATTGAAGGATTGTAATTTTGCGAACTGGATGTAAGGTAGCCTTATGTTCCTCACCTCCTGATGATATAATAAATCTTTATACAGTGCGCCTGATAAATTCCGGCATACGACAGAACCTTGTTATAAAAATCTACCGAATTGGTGCGGAAGAAACGAATCAATGGTAAACAATTTTTAAATGTATATTTGAGTTGTTTAAATTCGTTATGTGTCCATTTTTCCGACGGAATTATGGGCTTAAAGATAATCATTTTATTCGGTTCTCGTTTTGCCCATTCATTAGAAAGTGCGGCAGAAAAATATTGCGATTGCGCCACCAATCTTGCCGAATGGGTTGAAAAGGTACGCTGTTTTCACTCACAATATCGAAATGTCACAATAGTCAACATTATTATAGACTTTATCGAGTTTGTTTAAATGCGAACTCAATAACAAGTCGGTGTCCATTTTAGAAACTCTGCTTGTTATAAATCCTAAAGTACTTAGTTAAAAGCTAATTTTTAAGAACGTAAATCCAATAAATAAAGAATCATTTAATTTCATCAATATATCTTCGTACGTGTCTCAGGATAAATTCTTGTGTTACAAGACATTTTTTTTGAAAAGACTAAAAACAAGGATAAATTTAAGACTTGCCTTAAATAAAGAGATATTTCTTCAGTTGAGTTGTGCTGGCTTTTTAACACACAAGTTTCAAACAAAAAATGTCCTGTGTCATAAGATATTATTCCCAGGATTAATTAAAATACGCTAACATACTAATATGGAATACATTTTATGTATTAATTTAATAATCAGTAGTCGATAATTTTAAGAAATAGTTTGGTAGGTAAACAAAAAAAGCAAAAAAGAAAAGCATGCAACATTTTCTTAATACATGTCGTGGTCCAATTACCCAGTCATCGTATCGATTGGTCTACATAATACATGTATGCACATATTGTTTCTCAAGAAATCTAATTGGTACATGTAATCATAGCTGGTTGACGCAAGAGGATTGTAAATGAAAAAAGTTTACATTAAGTTTGAATAAAAATACGAATGGAACTTTCGAGATCATCATATACTGTATTCTTTCAGAACTTATCAAACAAACGATATTATTCGTGTCGCAGATTCAAAGAGAGAGATACATACGTAAAATCCTAAGTTTATATTATGTTTTCTCAAAGATGTCCAGATGAGAAAAAGCACATGAATCCCTTAAAGTCTGCGATGAATTCCTGCTTTATTTTGTATTCTACATTCACTCTCATACTTAAAAGTTTCTTTTTGACACATGATCCTAAGATCGTGAACCATTTAAAGTAAATGAAAGACAAAAAAGCCAAATCTCTGCTGAAAAGCATTCACGAAATGTCGAAATGACTAAATCTCTGAATTTTTCATTCCAACTTTCTTCCAACTCCTATTCTTAAATATTCAATGGAATTTTTTGTATTAGTTAAAAATAATTTTAGTTATAAAATTGTTATACATGTGATTTACAACATTGATAATTAATTAACTAGTTTTCTTTTTTATGGATCTTTTTGAATTATTCTAACCCAATTATTATATTAAAATACTACTAGCGCGCTGATATATATTACTTCGTATTTATTTACCAAAACCTTTTATTTATTAGGATCTGAGGTTTTGCCAGATCTCTCTGCAATCTGAGATAATATATGTCACTCCCCCTTTCGAACTTTAATTTTTCGCGGAATTATTTTTTCAAGATCCAAAAGTCTTAATCCTAATTTGGAAACATTTTGTTGATCTCGAAATTTCTGTACGTGACGTTTACCGCTATCGCTATTGGACGAAGCTAATTATTACTTGTAATGAAAACAATTACACACGTTTATCAAAATTAATCGTTTATATAATATCGATCGATATGACGTCCATTCTTATCTCGATTATTAATTTGACAGTAAATTCTATTTTTTCAAATTAAATATTATATTTTTATTAAATTTTGATACGTCTACAATTCCCAGCCATATCTCGAACATACATGTAATCTGGTTTTTCCAATTATATCAGATGAACTATAAATACATTAAGTTTAATCGTTGCATAAATGAGAAGCAGGATGACAAGTTTACTGTCCAATGAAAGAAAGCCCCATTTACATACTATGCTCAATGAAAATTTTTACCTGTACGCTAACATCTTTGGATAGTTTAGATTCACGGAGACCTTACTTAATCGATACTGATGTTTTTTATTTATTTGCATCGAATACGAGCGATTTTTAAGCTTAAAATTTACAATGGGGAAATCTTTGATCGTAAATAAAATTGGGTTTCTGACAATTGACCCTTTTTCGCCTCCTTTAAAATTATTAATAATGTAAACCAGTATTGAGGCATTCATAAATATTAATTTCCTCTTTTATTAATATATTTTTTGAGTTATTTTAGAGAAGAATAATCTACATATCTAATAATTTCTGTTGGATTTCTTTCACTACTATGACGAGCGCTATTTTTTATTAATCATTGCTGATAAGGTTTTTGATTCTATTTTGCTCAGCAAACCTTTTGGCTGACTAAAATACGTAAGCACCAAACGACCATTTTGTGAATATTTTGGCAAAAAATTCTTTGGCCACGGCCAAATGCCAACACTGACAATAAATATCTATTATAAGAATTTTAAATTGTAATTTAGCACAATTTTATCCATGTATAAAAATCATACTTGCATTTACATGTATTACATACGAAAAACAAACCATTTCCAAAGCCAATACATGTAATTTGTGTTAATTACATGTATAATGTATTTTTTGATTGGTGCTTCTGCAGATTAAAAAACATCGATGAATTCATTCATACTATATGTAGTTAGTGCTGAATTACTATTTCAAATTGTAATTTTACTATACATGTACATGTATTTTATAATTTAGGTCATTATGACCCCACTGAAATAAATGTACATGTACATGTACATGATGCATGTTTATCGCCTATGATCTATTTGACTTCCATATTTAGATCCGAAATGGTCGGTATCTGCCATATTTTTTTCTTATAATGGAAGAAAAGTAAAGTTAAAGAAACCGCCAGATTTAGTAAAAAAAGACTTTACATTGACATGATTTAATAAAACTGTCAACTTTCTAATGTATATCTCTTGAGCATTTTCTGATTCAAAGCATTTATCAACCAATTTCCCCGATTTGCACATAATTTCATAATCATGACTAAGAAATATGGTATTAAAGATCATGTATTTTTTCAAAACATGTCTTTTATTTGTTTATTTAATTTCTTACTCGGGTCATTTATATCTCGATATATAAAAGTTATGATGACCAATAACTAAAGTAAGACAATATTTTGAAATAGGGGAATAAAAGAGATTTACATTATATTTTCAGCCCCTTAACACTAACTATTTAATCGAGTCTCACGATCGAAGTTCTTTACGTTTCACCAGATCTAAATTAAGAAAAAACAAAGGTATGCTTATATTTTTTTATTCTCCCGCTAATTTTTCCTAAGTTTACCAATTAGAGGTTGAGCAAGTGCACAGACTACAAGATTCTTTTACATATCAAAGATATCAAACGCGATCCATCGCATATAGTGATACAAAGTTTTCTTATTTTTGTTAAGTATAAAAGATGTGGCCTTTTGACCATTGCTGAAATGGACACGGGCAACGTCAAATTTCGTTCTTTACTCTCGTAAATTTCTTTTTTTTTTTAGCTCAAAATGCTAAAAAGTATACGCAAAGGGAGCTCACTAGCCCACGATTTGAGCTTGACCGTTAATAACCCTCGCTACAGTGATATCCGTATATTATGTCAGAATGGTGTCTTATACGGATGTCGAACTATTTTAGCAGCCCGCTCCGACATATTTGATCGAATATTATTCACTGGAAATAGAGATCCATGCCCCACGGAAATATCTTTTCCAGATATCAATTCATCCGCCATGAAAGCAGTGCTTGAATTTATTTATACCGGAAGCATTCGTGAGGAGACTTTATTCAAACCATCGGAGGCAATCGAAATCTACTATGCGGCCGATTACTTTCTTTTACCCGATTTACAAGATAATATTCTAAAATTAATCGAAGAATCTCTTAAGGAGAATGAATACGGGCTCGCAGTAAAACTTTTAAACAAAACCATCAAAAAAATGCCTCTTTCTCAAGATAATAATTTGCTTGCGCTTTTAACAACATACATTGCTGCAATACCGCTCGATTCTTTTCCTTTTGAATACTTTACGATGGAAAATCTTCGAGTTCTATTGTCTATGACATTGAACAGTGAGACATATTTTGCCACGCCTGAATACGAGGTTTTCCGATACATAATTCTCTGGGGGGCAAGCCAAATTTCAGAAGAAGCGATAAGCATTTTCGAATCTCGCTTACCCGCTTTAGAAATCGCGGAACAACAAATCTTATTCCCTCAAGAATTCTTTCCAAATCAACAAGAAGCGGCGAAATACTATGAAATCCGATCATTAGTACTCCAGATTGCCTCGCCAGTGCTCGCTTATGTCAATTTTTCTTTAATTAAACCAAACATCCTCGCGAATGTAATACATCCACTAGGAATTATACCACCCCCAGCACTTTTTGAGGCATATCAATTCCATGCCGGATTGAACAATAACTCGATAACTAGAAGAGGCGGGATTTCGTGCAGAATTGACGATTTACGCTGGGATAATATGGCATGCGGACCGAATATTGAGATACGAGACTATGGAACTCGAGTGCTTTGTGCGAATAGCACAACTGTTGAATCCGTTCGTGGTGTAAACCTACTTTGGGGCAACGGCATGTACGAATGGGACGTCGTTGTCGAAGAAAAAAGCAGATGTGCCTGGATAGGTGTCTGCGGTGAAGGTGTTAACTTTTCCTCGTACTTAGGTCGCCAAGAAAATATTTATGTATTTAGTTCAGATGGTCAAATTTGGAACTCTAGAAAGTCGCAGAAATATGGTTCCACATTTGGAAAAGGTTCTACGATCACTGTACACCTAGACATGACCAAACGTACATGCGCATTCTCGATTGACAGGGTTCGATATCCTGTCGCATGGTCCAATTTACCTGAAAAATTGTACCCCGCTGCGGCCATTTGGAAGTTTGGGCGGTTGCGAATTAAACCGCACGTCTGATTTATTGTCTCGTTTTTCTCGTTAATTTCGATTATTTATTTTTCGTTTTTTTTAACTCGACATGCATGGCAACAAAACAAATGCGGATTGCGCTTCTCATTCATATTAATATACATGTATGAGACATTAAGCATTAAATTAAGCAATTAAGCAACAATCGATTTAATAAGTTTTGATAGGTCAAATTAAGAGGTCACATCAGTTTCGAAGTTCTGTTTGTGTTTTTAAATCAAAATTTACTGTTTGTCAATATTATATTCCCTTTCCAAATTCACGTTTATTTTTAAAATCAACATTTACTGTTTGTCAATATTCCAATATTCCCCTTCTAATTTTTTTTAATTAAAATTTACTGTTCTCAATATTCCAATATTCCCTTTCCAAAATCACATTTATATTTATGTGAAATTAGTATAGCTATTCCAGCTACGAATAATTTTTACTGTTTGTTAGTATTTCAATACTCTTTTTTCAAATTCAAGGTTATTTTTTTAATTAAAATCTTTACTGTTTGTCAATATTCCAATATCCCTTTCCAAATTCACGTTTATACTTGTGTGTAATTAGTATAGCTATTCCGGCTACGAATAAAAATTTACTGTTCGTTTGTATTTCAATATTCTTTTTTCAAAATTCATGGTTATTTCTTTTTAATTAAATTTTTACTGTTTCTCAATATGCCAATATTCCCTTTTCCAAACTCACCTTTATAATTATGTGAAATTAGTATAGCTATTCCGGCTACGAATAAAATTTACCGTTCTTTAATATTTCAAAAATTCACGTTTATTATTTTTAATTAAAATTTACTGTTTGTCAATATTCCAATATTCTCTTTCCAAATTCACATTTATACTTATGTGCAATTAGTATAGCTATTCCAGCTACGAATATTCATAAAGGTAATTTTTTACTTAATTACATAATATCGTTGATAAATAACTTAAGGCGTAGTTTGCTTAAAAGAATGTCAAATAAAGGTAAAAATAATGTTTCATAACTTAGAATATCTAAAGTATTAAAGTCATGATAACCTGGAGTCTAAAAGCTCAAAATGCATGGTTTAAAGCATTAGGGAAAAAATCACGCGAACGTTGTTTCTCGACTAACATAGGTCGAGAGCCGGTAAATATTTCAGTCACTTTTAATAGCTTTTCTTAATGTTATATGAAAAGTTTTTGCAAGAGATTTTTGATGACAATGATGAATCGCGGACTTGTTCTTACATTATTTTCGTATGTTTTAGGGGTAGTCAGTGTTCGGGCGAACATTTAAGATAGGAATATGGGAGGTTTCTGAAAAACAGAACGAACAGAACGAAAGAACCGAATGTAATAAAAAACACCGAAACAGAACCGTTATGATGAACGTAGTATTTGGTTGTCGATTTGGATTGTCGAAGTAATGTGTCAACCGTCTATTTTACTTTTTAACAAGGAATGTCTATATTGTATTGTTGATATTCCTCAAGAATCTTCCCCTTTCCACTTTTCTAACCAACTTAAAGGTCTTCTTAAATAAAATTGTTTAATTATTAATATTTAGGCGCGCTACAACGCCTCAATCAATTCAATCTCGTACAAATTAGTAGTGCATCAAAGAATCGTTATCATGGTGGCTTCGTCGTACAATTCGAACTCATCGGAACGGATCAAAGTACATATACATCACATTCCAGCTAACATATTCAGCCAGTTAGGTAAACGATATTCATATCTTGCTTGGTATCCGATATAATAGTAATTGAGATTATCTTAAGTCTTAAATAATTGTATAGTCGATAGAAGGAAATTTCATTATTATATTATTGGCGTGAGAAAAGTTTATTTCAGATTTATTGTCATATAGTGGATTTTTCTTATTGAATTTGACTGTATAATAAGAAAATTTAACGAAAATAAGGGAATTGACATATATGAGGTAATATCCTAGGATGGGGGATCTATATAAAATCTCGAGTATATAATAAACTATATTATGTTTTCAAAAAACTCAGCAAGCTTCCGTTCTATAATTAGGTAATAAATGTCAAAATCTCAAATAATACAAAAAATTCGATATGAAATTAAATTTCATATTACTATATTGATCTATGCGAATAGTTTTAAGAAAAACATATATACCATCCAAAGGGAATGGATAGAAGTCAACTAATTTCTCAGGTGAGTATGGTTTTTTATTAACAGTTAATCAGGTGAGGAGGCCTGATTTTTACCCACTTCCAATAGGAAAATACGTACTTCAAGCTAAATAATAATGCTTAAATCTATGATTTAATTTTGTTAACTCCGAACATAATCTAACAATATAATTTGCTAAGCATTGCTGAAGCTAAATTCTTAATTGAAGTTTATTTTAAACATGCTAAAATCTGAAATCTTATATACATCGAATGTTAAAGGGAACTGACACGATAATCAAAACTTTCAATTAACTTGCAAACAAATGCGCCTAAAAAGTGCGAGTAAAATCAATCAGATACTCGCCTTATTTGGGTAACTTGTTCTTTGTTCATTTGTTCGATGACTTTGTTAATTAATTATTGTTTAGAGTGCTTAAGATCGATCAATTTTTAACGTTAATTAATAATATCATGTACTGAGTGCTTAGATCGATCGATCAATGAATTGTGAAATGAGAGTACATGTAATACCTTAAGATTTGAAATGAGTTTCACTACATACAAATGACATCATAAAGTAGCAATTATATGTAAACAAAAACTAAAAAAGTCGATATTTCGGACACAAGCGAATAATCTTGAATTTTCTGAAATATCATTCTTGGACTTTGAAGTTTTATATGCTAATGCTGATCATAAAATGATTATTTTTAGATTCTCTCGGCAAATTACATAAAAACAATTCATAAATTTATAACAAGTCAACCTCTCTATAATGACATCAATTATCACGACTAATTTTATCATTATAAGCTTTCATTATAAAAATTGATTAATAACGCTTAAATTTATAATTTTAATATTAATTAAACTTAGTTCTTATTATATGTATATCAATACCCTTTAAATAAATTTATAGTATCAGTTTAAAAATATAGTGAATGCTAAAAGTAATTCATCAAATTTGTTTTATAATATAATATATTTTTTCAGATTTTTAAATTTTTTCTAAATGAGTTATTCTAATTATAATTGAAATTTTCTCTTTATATAATTTTTATTAATATTTTTATTTTTATATTAAAATAAAATTCATAATTTATAGATTAATATATATATATTTATTCTTATATTCAAATAAAATTTATAATTTATAATTCAATATATATATTTATTTATTGATGATGCAAGCTCTTTTGATTATTTTATTTAAAGTGATCTGGTCTTCATCTTCAATTGATATAACTTAAGATCTAGAGATATTATAGCTTGTCTATCATAGATAAAATAGAATGATATGAATTTTATTTGAGCTTTGTTAGTGCTCCAAATCACAATATTTGTAACCAGTTTCAAACTGATTCAATTTTATATAAACTAATCTTTGATCCATTTCTTCTAGTAAATCAATTTCTAATAAAAAACCAGTTTTTAAATGTAAATCAAATTGAAATTCAAAAATAAAAACTCAATTTATTAATAATAAATATAATATTTAGTATAATTTTATAAATAATAAATATATTATCTTATTTAAAGTTTTTAGAAATATATTAAATACTTAAAATATGAAAAATTTTATAATTAAAATAAAAATTTTACTAAAAAAAAACTTACAAATAAGCTTTTTCTAAAATTTAATTTGCTAAATAAAATTAATTAAATAATAAAAAATTAGAAATAAAGTCATATTATTTTTTAAAAATAAAGTTATTTAACTAGTATTTAAAAAAAGTTACTTGTTAAATATTAAAATTACTAAAATAAATAAATATTTATATATAATTCAGTTTAATAAGAGAAATATTTTTAAATAATTATTTTATTATATAAAAAAATTATAATTTTATTTTTAAATATTTAAATTTAAATAATTATTAACTTTTTTAATATCTTATATAATAATAATAATAATATTATTATTATTATTATTAAAAAGTATATTAAAATAGAATTTATTAAAAAAAAGTAATATTGATCTAATTAATATTAAATATCAAATTAAAATAATTAGTTATAATTATAAATAAATTTTCAAATTTTTTATTAGAATAAAATTTTTAAAGTTTATTAATTATTTCATTCTTATAATATTATTATTAATAAATTTAAGTCTTTTTAATTATAAATTTAAAATAATTACTATTATTTTTATTAATTTAAATATATTTTAATATTCTTTTATAAATAAATAATAAATAATTTTAATTTTAACTAAAATTTTCTATTTTAAACTCTGATATTTATATTTATTTATTTTATATTATCTTTTTTTCTTTTTTTTTCTTTTTATTTTTATTTTCTTATTTTTTTATTAAGTTTCTAATAAATTTTATTTTATTATTAAATTTTATATAAGTTTATTATTTAAATTTATTTTATTATTTTTATTATTAATATTTAGTAAATTTTTATTTTATATATTATTAATAATTATATTAATATCTTTATAAATAAAAAAAATTTTTAAATAAAATTAAAAAATAAATATATTATATAATTATTAAAAAAAGAGAAAAAGAATCTTAAAAATCTTATCTTTTATATAATTAAAATAATTAATTAAATATAATAAAAATCTTATTTAAAAAAAGTGATCAATTTTATAATAATTATATTATATAATATATAATTATCTTCTTAATAAATAAAATTATGAAAAAATATTTTTATAAAATTATTAAAAAAATTCTTTAATATATTATATTATATAAATTATTTAATATATTATCTTTATATTTAAAATTATAAATTAAATTAAATAATTTATTATTAAATTATTATTTATTAAAAAAATTTTTATTAAAAAATATAATATTAAATATATAAAATTAAAAGTAATATAATTTAAATTTAATAAAAGTTTATTATATTAAAA